ACTTCCTGCATGCCTTACCAGGTCGTCACTCCATCTAGCGGGGGGTCGCCCTACACTACGCCTACCGATACGAAGCTGCCACTCGAGAACCTTTTATCCCCATCGGTTGTCGGTTCTTCGAGCTATATGACCGGCCCATTGCCACTCAGCTTACTAATCCGTTGGACTATGTCGATCACTCTGGTTCTACTGCGGATATCCTTATTTCTAAGTTTATCACGCAGAGAAACCCCGAGCATAGCCCTCTCCATAGCTCGCTAAGCGGCCTTGTCAGTCCTCATACGGCCAGCAGTGAAGGACCACGTTTCAGATCCGTAAGTCATCACTGGCAGCACGCACTGGTTGTACAATCTAGTTTTCAGGTTTTAAGGTGTAAATGACGAGAAGATGTGTCATAATTTTCCGAACGCTGCCCAGCCTAGTTGAATCCGTCGATTGACCTCTCGGTCGAAGTTGGACTTACCAATCACTTATCACTTATTCTTGTATATTTTATATACCTAAAAAGCAATGTTAGTGATAGGTACTGATATCCGAAACCGAAAACTAACAACGTTACTTCACAACCATACTTATAAACAGGGAATCGAGTTTTGGAACAAAAATACTTGCATAATCAGAAACACACGTAACGTCTTCTCAAATCTTCGAAAATTGACACAAAATATATCAGCAAAGAAAGTTATTATAGTGTTGTGTAACACAGGTTTGCGATATCGTCATTATGTCACGCGTCACGGATACATTGCTGTTGCTAGCGGTACTCACCACTGAGCAGCGTACTGAGCTGAGCAGACAATAGCGCAGCGGGACGGTCGGCGCAATGGTGATCATCGGCAAACTTTTTAAACGCGGTTCATACCAGAGTTTATAAATAGTATGTATGGCAGGCCACGCAAAATTTTTCGAAATGAATTTTCTTTGTATGAGACACTGTCCAGTTATAATATTTTATTTTGAAAATACGATAATTTGCACGTAAATACACTAATATTACAATTTCAAATTTAAAATAGGAACATCACTGAAATTTGAAATTGGAACATTCACATTTTTACATCTACACTAATTTTATCATAGCATTAGAAAAAATAAGCTCGTAAGAACAAACACTACAATTCGAAGCTTAAATAATTTTTATGAAAATAGAGAATTATAAAATAAAAATTAAATCAAATTAAAATAATAATTACATAGTTAAAAATAGTAAAATAGTCTGCACGTGTGTGAGTGACCGCGTGAGTGCGTGCGTGCGTATGTGTATGTGTGTGTGTGTGTGTGACACTGGTAGATAATTGTTGGATGCAGAGCCCTTAATTCCTTTACCAGTTATTTTGCTACCCTAGCCAATATATTGCATGTTATGTTTCTATAGACTTTCGTCATAGTTATTTTAAATAAGAGGTTACGCAACCAATTACGTGTCGCTCCCGCGCTTTCTTCCTCGAACTATGGTGGTGTAATGTTCGCGGTTTCCAGCTTTTGTTCCTTTCTTTTTCCTAGTTGAATAATCTATTTATTGAATAACCAGCTTCAGTCCGAGTAGAAACATAGACGTTTTAATGTTCATTTTCCCGCAGTGACATCGACCTGTCAAAGTTCGTTGCTGTACATGAGCTTCTCCCGTTTCTTTTTTCTCCCCAGACATCTTGCAACCTTGACGCTGCTGCCCGTCTCATCATCATCATCATTACAGCCCTTCACAAGTCCACTGCTGAACATAGGCCTCCCCCAAATAATGCCACAAAGCACGGTCCTGAGCCACCTGCATCCATCGACTTCCTGCATGTCGCTACGCCTACCGGTACGAGGCTGCCACTCGAGAACCTTTCTTCCCCATCGGTTATCGGTTCTTCGAGCTATATGGCCGGCCCATTGCCACTTCAGCTTACTAATCCGTTGGGCTATGTCGGTCACTCTGGTTTTACTGCGGATATCCTCATTTCTGAGTCTATCACGCAGAGAAACTCCGAGTATAGCCCTCTCCATAGCTCGCTGAGTGACCTCGAGCGTCTTCATACGGCCAGCAGTGAAGGACCACGTCTCAGATCCATAAGTCATCACTGGCAACACGCACTGATTGTACAATCTAGTTTTGAGGTATACCTGACGAGAAGATATGTCGTAATTTCCCGAACGCTGCCCAGCCGAGTTGAATCTGTCGATTGACCTCTCGGTCGAAGTTGGACTTACCTAGTCGTACTATTTGTCCCAGTTAAACGTACTCGTCAACAACTTCGAGCATAGTGCTCCCAACAACTACCGGCATAGGTGTGACATGGACATTAAACACGTGTAATCTTGGTTTTGTCCATGTTCATCTTAAGACCTATCCGTTGGGAGGCACTATTGAGGTCATTGAGCATAGTGCTTAAGTCCTCCAGCGATTCTGCCATAAGGAAGGCAAAGAAGGGGCCAAACCCCAAAAAAAGAAAAAAACACCCCCCCTCCCCACACAACCCAAACACCCCAAAAACCCCCCCCCAAACCCCAAAAAAGACGATTCGTAATGACTCTCGAAAACAGCACGTAGACGCGGCTCAGAAGGGAAATCGGTCCGTAGTTCTTCAAGAGAGCATTGTCGCCTTTTTTAAAGAACAAGACCACCGCACTTCCGCTCCACGCCTCTGGAGTAGTGCCACCATGGAGGACGGAATTGAAGAGCTTCTAAAGGACTTCAAGTACCGGTGTTCCACCCGCTTTCAGAAGCTCCGCTGTATTTCCATCCTCGCCTGGGGCCCTGCCGTTTTTAAGGTGCTGGAGAGCCATTCTAATCTCGCTTAGACTGACATCCGGGATATCATCGGAATAGTGTCGGATAAGACTTGCTCTTAGATCGTTACTCACACTTGCGTGTGGCTCCAACGATGATGTGTACAGCTGCCCATAGAACCTCTCAATCTCACTCAAAATCTCAGGTGTCCCGGAAACGATGCTGCCACACTCAGTCTTCAGCTTTGACAGTTGGCTCTTACTGGCAGACAGATCTCTGGCAAAGACTTTGGAGCCCTGGTTCCGCTCGATCGCTTCTTTAATACGAGCAGTATTAAAGTTGCGTAAGTCTCGCCGCATGCATTTGGAGATCTGTCTGTTCAGTTGCCTGTATGCTGTCAAATCTGTTGACGATTGCAGCCTCATCTCCCGTCTAACAGCCATGAGATTAAAAGTGTTGGATCGGAGAGTTTTTGTGTTCTTCTGCGGCGGGTCTTGCAGAACTTAGCTCCGACCGCATGGACAGTTTCCACGAGCTTGTCATTCATATCGTCCACTGCATTTCAATCTTGTAGGCACTGAAAGCGGTTACGTAACTCGAGTTGAAAGTTTTCGGGATTCTGGATTAGAGCACGAGGGGGACGGAGCGTTGACTTCATTAGACGAGATCTCTCCAACTTAACGTTTAGGTTCAGTGTGCCTCTAACCATTCGGTGATCGCTGCCAGTTTTTACCCTTGCGATCACTGAGACATCACTGAACAGTTGGCGTCTGGTCGTCATAATGAAGTCAATCTCATTTTTTGTCGAACCGTCGGGGCTCGACCAGGTCCACTTCCTGTGGGGCCGCTTCTGGTAGAAAGAGTTCATCATAAAGAGTCCCTCTTTCTCCATAAAGTCGGCCAGCTATTGGCCCCTTCGATTCCGTTGCCCTACTCCAAATTTCCCTAACTTCAGCTCACCGTTTTCTCTTGTGCCTAGTTTTGCGTTAAAGTCTCCCATCAACACCGTGTAGTGGGTTTTGGAGGAATGCATGGCTTTGGAAATATCCTCATACATTTCCTCCACCTCCTCATCGGAATGTGCCGAGGTTGGTGCGTAAACCTGTATGACCTTCAGCGAATACCGTTTGGTGATTCTGAGTATCAGGTACGCGACCCTCGTCGACACACTCCCAATCTTTACAACGTTGTTGACAAGAGACTTGTGGACGATAAATCCGACATCTCATTGGGACAGACGGTCGCCCGAACGGTGATAGAACAAGTTGCCGGATTCGAGAATCACCGTGTCCTCCCCCTCTCTTCGGACCTCGGATAATCCTATAATATTCCAGCGCAACTTTTCTATCTCTTCTTCCAGCTCCAGGATCTTCTCGTCAGTTCTCAGGGTGCGTGCGTTAAATGTTGCCAGGTCGAGTCATCGTAGGTGGCAACCGAACCTCCACAGGAGATTCTTAGCACCTCCTGCCCCGCCGTTACCATGGTCACCACCGTAGCCAGGAATAGCGGGGCCGCCGGGGACTGGGGGCCGTCTATTTGTGTAATTGTTCATGGGGGGTATATTGCCATAGTTGCCACGCTTGGCGAGCGGGTTGGCAACCGCAGTTTTTTTTGTCGTACAGTTGCTGTTATCAGGAAGATGCTGCTGCCCATCTCCTGCCTGTTTCCCTCTGTCGTCTTTTACGACACCCACGGGTAGATATGGAGTAGTGGATATTCTTAACTGCCACTACACGGCTGCCCGTCGTTGGTCCAAATATTTTACGCCTGGCGTAAATGATATGATATAACGTATCTATCAGAAGCCATAAGACTATTCAAATATAAACCATCGTCGCTGGTTGTTGTGCTCTTTATGTCCTCCAGACCGAATTTCGTTCACGGCAGCAAGTCTTCAAAATCAATGGAGACTAGTCATCTACGCAGGCCAGGATTATAGTGCCTGAGTGTATGCGCAAGCACAGGTGTACTCTCTATTCCCTAACATGACCGGAGAGAAGTCAGGTACAGGACCAACGGCTTTACGCGCTTTTCGAGGCCTGGGGTAGCAACACCGCTAACTTCCTGACTCCGGGCTGTGACTGAGAATTTCTTGACAAAACCCATTAACTGATTTTTGTTTGACCAGGGATTTGAACCTGGGACTCATGATGAGCAACCACGTTTATTATCACTAGACCAACGAGGTAATTTGGATTCTCTAAGATTGATTTGTGTATGTACTACACCCTTAAACATTACCCTTTTTCTAGAGTGTAATATTTTATGAACTAAAATATTTCTAAAAATGAGGCTTAGTAAATGCAAGGTTTTTTTATAAATATTAAATGCACGATGTATTTATAAGATTTTTTTGTCAAATGACCTTGATTTTTATGTCAAAGCCAATATCACAAGATCTCAGTGAAATAATTAGGCTCCTTCACTGCCTACATACGGACTCTACCGTCTCTTTAGTTTATCCTTTTCTACCGCCCACCAATATTGATTCTACTGCAGTGTTTCAAAATAATAGAGAGCCAGTTATAAGTACAGGCAATATTCCAACTTTTCATTAGATACTAGGACGTATCTGTGGTTCCACATATATTTATAATATGTATTAATGTAAAAGAATTTTATAATCCAGTTTCACCCACTTCCGGAGGTCTGAATAACCCGAAATTTTGCAGACGTAATAAGAACCAATGACAGTACACTAATTTTATGGCATGGTCTAGTTTTCTTAGCATCATAACAGCTCATAATTAATGCGTTTAGAGTTTTTTAAACTCTCGTAGGTATTATTTTGTTGCAAGTGACGAATGAGTAAACTACTGACTAGCAGGTGGACTATTGGCTTGTGGTCGCTTTAATAAAAGTTTTAACTTCACCACCGTTGTAATCTTAAATTATAATTTTTTTTCACACCTTCACTCAAAGATCTCGTAATAAAGGAATCTTCTACATCTTATGTATTCCGTCAAATTACTCACAGATACATAATGTAGTTACCAAACTGTGCCGAGCACACTGAGATCACTTTCTCCTCGCCAGAAGTCGAGAGGGAAGAACCGGTCTGGGCAACTTTCGGTTTCATTTGCATTTTTTGTAAAGGTCGCAGGGCGTTACACTATAAGTCCATTGTATAACGACCTGCTATAATAGTTTGTTTATACATTTAACATTAATTGAATAATCATATTTATACTTTTAGTTATTTACACACAGTAGTGGTAGATTATTAAAATTAATTTTGAAAACACGATTGTACAACCAAAGCGTATTGACAGCAATGACACTTGGATCTGAGGCATGGTCCTTCGTACTGGTCGTGTGAAGATGCTAAAGGTAGTTTAGCGACCTTTGGAGATGCCTATACTTCGAGTTTCTCTTCGTAGTTCACTTAGAAATGAGGAAATCCTTAATAGAACCGGAGTAGCAATGGGGCGTGCATATAGCTCTGAGAACCGACATTTGATTGGATAGAAAGGTTCTCGATTGAGAGCTTTATATACCGGTATAAGTGATGTGTATAGCGGCCTGCGCCATTAGATTTAGAGCCAACCTGATAAGAGATGCAGGAAGATGATGGATGCAGGTGGCTCAGGAACGTGTCTTGTGGGATTCCTTGGGGGAGACCTATGTCCAGCAGTGGACTTATTATGGGCTATAATGAATATATGAATGAGATTTTAAAATATATAACTACTTATAATATAATGGTTGCATGGTGGTTTCAGGTGTCTAAAAGCTAGAGTTGCCACACATCTGTTTTGCGATTGTGTATATTTGGCGGGAATCGTGGTTGATTTCGTTTAGACATTTGTCGTATCGATTATAAGCCTTTCATTTTCATTTCCTTTACATTTTTTTATAGAAGTAAAAAGAGTCTCCGGTTCTCTACACTTATCATACGAAACGCAGCAGCATTAAGCTGCTATTTTACGCTGATATTTTGGTTTAGGTTACTAAAGACTAATATATTGAAATAAATTTAAATCAGTTACGTAGTTATTCACACCAGAGTTACACAATCACTCTGCTGGTTGACTGCTACCTCGTTTGTCACTCTCATGTTTTTAAATAACTATTTGAAATATGCAAATGTGCACATTTAGAAACTTTGAAGTGATCAATAGTGGCTAAACCAGAATACAATAACTGTATTCCACAAACCCAATTCCTTCCTACTTCTAAGAAATTAGTTTTCTGATTTACTAATATTATTTTGATCGAATTGGTATGAGGCTCCCTAGACGAAAGTTTATAGACCAAATTGGCGATATATTAAAGTTGAACCAAATTGAGAGTACCTTTTACCGACGAGCATGTATGCGTAGGTATATAGATGTGAAAGAAGCGAGATAGATCAAGAGAAGTGTCAAGATCGTGCCAATGGAAAATCCGTAGTCTCTACCTACACCCTCCAGATGACAGACGTGGTAGCGTGATATTTTATATATTTTTCTTAAAAGTATATTAAATTGGGTAAGATATCAGTTCCATGTATTGTATTGATTTCTAAATACACTATCATTAGAATTAATGTATTCTTAAAGTTAATTTCCAGTCACGTACACACAGATGAGTCGCGGAGGCTCGTTGAATTCAAATGACTTGAAGTCGTTTCCACAAGACTAAGAAAGTTGCCTTTCGCCTTTATTAATGTATTTGAGAGCCGGCGACTCCCATGTTTACTAATATCCACAAGGCTGTTGTTCACTCATCATATACTTAAGTATATATCTACAACTCAATATCTATTATATTTCTTAATTCGTAGTTTTCTCGACACTTCAGACGTTATTATTATTTCACACGTTAAAGTTCATGAGACCAAAGAGTATATAATCACCACGTTTACACGACAGCGTCATGGTACTATCATATCACTTAACAGTCACGTCAAAAAATGTAGTTTAGCAGATGTTTAGAGTACTTAGAGTAATTACACGACGATCGCATCTGGAGGTGATATGGTGTAGTTACACAAAGCACTTGACTATGACTTGGGTAATGTGTGCATGAGCCTTAACCAGTAGGTAGGTTAAATATATAGTTATTTTATTCTGCACTGACTGCCTCAATGGTCAAGTGGTCGTAAACGCCATTGCCGATCGTGAGGTACGGGGTTCGAATCCCGGGTCGGGACAAAATTAGTTACTTATTAGGTTAAATGCTCAGTAGCAGCCTGGAGACGGGAAGTTGGCAGTGTTCGCCCCCCACCCCCGTGGCTCGGAAATCAAGTAAAGCCGTTATGCATGCGCCTGATCTCTCCGGTCGTGTCAGCTTTCCGTCCCATCGGACTATGAGAGTGAGGTAATTGATAGTGTGTCTATGATCTACAGCATCCACTTATCATCAGGTGGATTATGTGCTCGTTTGTCACCCTCATTCAAGTGGTAAAATTAAATATTTTGTATAACCGACCACAATATAAATAAATTGAGAATATCATCAATGTCGGCGAAGTCAATTTAATACGCATTATTAATTTAGTAATTAGTAATTAACTCAAAAATTACTGGTCAGATCTTGATCCAATTTATATGGGATCACATAAGAGAAAAAAGTATTATCAAAATCGGCTCCCCTAGAAAAAAGTTCTGAGATAACACACATTAAAAATATAGTCGAATCGAATAACTACTTCTTTTTGAGGTCAGTTAAAAAATTTACTATTGTAGAATACAGGCCTTTTTATTACATCAATTCGCTAGCAATTTTCCCACATGTTCAATATGCATAAGTTTTATGCGAATTTAAAATTTACAACAGTGTAATACTCGTACAATTATAATGGACATATTAAGCTCAATAGCACACACAATACGCCTACATTTTCTTGTAATATCACATTATTCCCCCATTGTCTAATAATTTGGCACACGCATCAAGGTTACCTTTTTACGACTAACCTTGTAAAACGATAGTTAGGTGCATCACGCTAAAACTAAGAGGCATATGATGTTTTGTGTATAAATTTACACATATAAATAAAAAAAATCTTTCAATAAATAAATCCTTCAACCTAAAAGGCATCTATACGAGTACATAGTTTTATATACGTCCCACTGCTGGGCACAGGCCTCCTCACATTTTTGAGAGGGTTTTTAGAATCCGCCGCACTGCCTTAAATACGGCGTATTTCAAATGCCCTCGAAATAAGTTTTTTAATTTCTCAGACATGCACGGTGCTTCGCTATATTTTCTTTCAACGCCGTTAACATGGTAAATCAGCACTAAAAGTTATAGTTTATAAATTTATGGGTACCAACAAGGATCGATCTCGGGGTTTTTAGAGTTATCACGAAATTTTCAAATTTAACTACAATAATTACTTACGACACCTTGAGATATATTTAATTTATAGGTAGTTAGTATAAGCGTGACCTTTTCTTTACATGGCGAAATGCCTACGCATACCCGCCTGGCAAGACGCACCAGGAACACACGTATCGCCTTCCTCCACGGCATCCAACTCCAGACTCCACTGAGTCCGATAAACGGAAGCCATGGGGCCAGGAAAAACGAGCGCTTGGAAGCACCCTCTTTCCTAACCCCAGTAAAAGCGTAGCGTCTAATCGCAAGCGGAGTCAGCACATTGTGCATTGTACCTATAACTGTACCCTTTTCTCATCTCATGATTCATGAGTTGTGATGATAATAGTAGGAAAATTATGTCACAATCTTGAAATTATTGTATTGTCATATGTTCTCTTTACACACATGCAAAGTTTTGGAATATTCAGACAACCGGAAGTGGGTGAAAGCCGAATTTTAAAATTCCATCACATTCATATAGGTCAAGCATATAAAATCATGTTAAAAGACACTCGATTGTCCAAATCTATGTTTTTTTTATAAATTTTTATATAGAATAAGGGTGACAAACGAGCACACAGTCCACCTGATGGTGAGTGGATGAAGTAGCCCATAGACGTCTACATTTATCCTCGATTAAGAATCAAAACGCAGGTGCGTTTTCACCCCTGAGGATTAAGACGGAATGCCTCGTAACCAGTAAAAAAGGGTCGCCGGATCTCTACACTCACCATACGAAACACAGCAGCATTAAGCTGCTGTTTTACGCTGGTATTCTGTGAGAGCGAGCGTCCTTCCCGGTCGAGCCGACCCATTAATATAGCTGCAGCGTGGTTCTACCACGTATAAATATATATATATATATATATATATATATATATATATATATATATATATATATATATATATATATATATATATATATATATATATATATATATATATATATATAAAACATACAAAACATTATTATTTAACATTTGCAGTTATAAACAAAATTAT